AAATCTCTGTGGACTGATTTATAACTCATTTCAGCTGGTAAGAATACAATTGATTGAGTTATTCTATTGATACTTCTGCCTGGACTTGGTAATCCATGAACTTCTGCATAATTTTCTAGAAAATTCTTTACCACCTCAGCAACATTTTTATCAATCACCATTTTGGTTTTCCATTGAGGAATTCTTTTTATGTTTCCATGAACTCTTGGTAAAAGACCATTGTTTATCAGATGACTTCTAATATTTTCAAAATAAGTTCTACCAATTCCCAGCATATTGAGATAAGTTTCTTGACAAAGGGGTGTATTGTGATCCCAGTGATAGAAAGTTCTTTTATTAGATCTGGTTTTCTTTTTAAGGTGTCTACTACTGCTTATTGATCCACCATCCATGGCTTTAAGTTGGGCCATTAAAAATATGTCTTGTTCAGTTTTAGAAAGAGCTTGAAAAGATTCTCTTAATTCTGCAAATTGTTCCTTGGAAATTCTTGAAGAGCAATCACAATCACAACCTTTTTCTAAAAAATCAATTGCTTTTTGATATTCATTAGAACCATTGCATTTGTTACCTTTGTTAATGTTTTTCATATACACTTATCCCTATATATAATATAATTTTATGTTCACTTTGTAGGTTTTAATAATTGTTTTAAAATTGGAGAGAGTATATGAATGGAGTTAAATTTAGATTCAAATTGGTATAACCAGGGAGGGGTAAATGATAGAAAATTTTTTTGGAATAATTATTTTCCCATTTAATCATATTTTTATATATTTTCATTACTTGCAAAACAGCTTTAAAAATTCTTCAAGTTTAAGATTGTTGATGAACCTTTTGGCTCAACCTTTGATTTTTTAACCTCTTGGTTAAAAACCTTCATATTTAAATTTTATAAGAACCAAACAAGTTTTGTAAATAATCATATGATTGAATTTGCTAGTTAAAATTTCACATGATTAAAGTTAACCTTTATGCACAATAAAATGTATGTATATATATACATGGTCAAAATATCAAAAGAGCAGACTTTATTTATAAGGCATACATGTTATATGGTGCAATTTTCTACAAATTCAAAAAGCCTCCAATCCCTTCAGTTTCCTTAGTGTTATTTATTTCTTTTTTTTTGGGGAACTTGGTTCTTTGATTCTGGGTGACACCAATACATTTTCCACTGAATATTTTTTCTTTTCAGAAGCTTCTTTCATAAATGTAAAGGTTTTTATTGTTTGCTTCAAGATATTCTGCAGAAAAAAAAAGCAAAGATTAAAAACAAGAAGCAAAACATTAAGATGAATTTGTCCATTTACCTTAACAGTCAACATCATCTGTGCTATTGCTACTATTTTTCCCATTTCATCAAATCGAGTGGGGATATCAAATTCTCCCAACACAGTGGATCCATAGTATTTACTACCAATATACACATTTACCAAAATACGAATAAAAAACCAAGATGTAATAAAGCCAGGAAGAATTAATTGCTGGAAAGCTTGAACAACTTTGACAGGAAGAGCTCCACCGCCTACTTCAGATAAGGTTTCCATCAATGTTTGATGCATGTCTCGTAGTGTCTTTTGCACCTTGAGTGTGTTATCAAGAATGTTCCTACCATTTTCAATCTTTGAACCTGCCCTTTCACAAAGGGAAAACTCCCTTCCCCAAGTAAGATCCTTTGCAAGATCATGTTTCTATAAAAAATATTTGTCAATAATTAATAAATATTCAAGATAATGTGCACAAAAATACATACTGTAAAAAGCCAGTCTAGATGGTATCCTTCTATCTTATCAGATGCATTAATTGCTTGTTTATGACGTGATCGTGAGGCTCTAGATACCATTTCACCACTTATAGATGAAGTTGTTATAATATTTTAGTAAAAATTGTAGGCACATGTAAAATCAACAGTCTAACTTACAAATGTAAATCTAATATATCACTAAGACAAGAAAACATATGAGACTTGAAAATTATGTCAATATCTCTTTCTGAATTTTCACATTGTGGTATTTTTTTATCAATCATTTGGTATCTAGTTAAGAAAATACCATATAAGTATTGTTATTTCAAAAAATTAGTTATACATAGCAATTTCATACTTACGTATATCGAAGTAATTCAATAATATAACAGACATCTGGATGTTTATAATCTTCAACTTGAATAATATTATCAGTTGTATCATCAGTAGGTGGAGAACAGGGTTTTTATTCATGAATATCATGAATATCATTAAGGAGGTTACACACTATTAAAACAGTAAAAAATCCCTTAAAAACATGAGTTGATCACTTGATTTTAATAGTGTGTGACCATGTGTGACCCCCTTATGATATTCATGAATACAAACCCTAGTGGAGAATTAAGAAATGGATTTTCCTCTTTATCTTTGTTCCTGGTGGACACTTGAATCTTATTTATAGCACCACAAACACCATGGTATACCACAGTTTTGGCTACTTCCTTCAATCCTTCCTCATCTAACTGAAGACAGTTGCACAATGTTGAGTTATATAAATAAATAAATAAAATAGCATAACTACTAACCATTGCAATTGAGTGCAAGCATCTTTCAACTGGTGGTTCCAAAACTTTCCAGTTCAATGGAAGATATGAAAGTAAACTTTTGCTTAGATTCAGAAATTCTTGCTTTGTAATAACATCAGAAAGTTTTGGATCACATGTATCTATTATGCGCCACCAAATAGGACTAACCATAGAAGGATTTAGAATAAGATATCTTTACAACAAAAAATCAGAGATAGCAATATTATTGTAAACTTACATTTCCACTACTTGAGATAATGAATTAAAATTAGTTGTATCAGTTCTTGCAACAAGGCTTTCACGATGTTGATGTATTTGTTTAAGCCAATCAGGAATTTGCTGTTCAAACTCCCAGCTTTTTTCAAGGTCATAATAGACAGTCTATCAGTGCATTCAGCAAAAAGAATAAATGAAGCAAATTAATTAAACTTAATAATACAGAGTACAATAATAATAAAAATAATTATATAACAACTTGTTGGTTATCAATAATATTGTCCCCAATATTAACATCTTCAACATCTTTGGTAGTATTGATGGTATCTGATTCATTGATTTCTAAGAATTTTCTTTTCTTTAAATCAGCACTGAAAGTTCCATTGTTACTAATCCCATTAATAGTGTTACCCATAAATTTTGGTTGGTAAAAATGGATTGAAGGTCCATCATTCTCCTTAGCTAACACATGTTCTTTATTCCATTCTTTTGCTTCCTTATGGTCAGGGCGAGTGCCCTTATTAAAAAAAAAAAGACAGAAAGTTAATAATATTTTTATTAGTACCTTCAAAATTATCCATCTGGTTTATCCTATCAGGTTTTCACTCCATCCCATCAGGTTGATTAACAGTCTTGAACAAAAGACAAGCTAACAGGTTGCCTATGCCCCAATAGGTACCAACATCAAATCGACTAACAGTCTTGAACAAAAGACAAGCTAACAGGTTGCCCATGCTTCAATGTTGGTTTTGTGGCTCAACTAACAGTTTTGAATGACAGACAATCTAGCAGATTTCTGCCACGCCACTTATTCAAATAAAAATAATAAAAAAAGTTTCATCACATACCTTTTTATATCTATCAAAAAGTAACTGAGCTTTTTCGCATCTCTGTTTACCTTCTTCATTGTTAATAATTGTTTTAAGACTCTTAATATATATGTCAATTTTCCGTTTGAAGGGCTCTTCATTACACTCTTTTAGAAATCCTAAAATACACCATTTCGCATATTTTCGCTTGAAATAATCATGTATTTCAATATTATACATTATATGGGGGGTTTTCTAGCAAAAGATACCTTAAGTGCCCTCTGACCAAAATTGAGATTTTTGCATAATATATATTTATATCATAAGGATTATAACTGGTGAAAAAATCAGGTCATGTTTGTTTAGTAAAAAAATGAGTGATTGGGCAATAAAGAATTTTTTAAATTAATTTGCACAAAATCTTGAGTTGATCTACAACCCCAAATTTTATTAGTTACACAAAGTTTGATAAAAAATAAACGTTAATAATAAATAATAAATACATGATATTAATATTAATAATTAGGGTTTGGACAGAGAATATCTTTATATGGATTATCTACATACTGATGAATGTTAGCAAATAAGTATTTTTTTCAGTCTTCTGATAAAGGAACAACTTCAAGAAAATTTAATTGTGTATTTTTATCAAAATTTGTATTCTTTAAAAGATTATA